TATGTGAACTAAAATAAACTGATTCTGAATTATGGTCAATGACCTGAGCCCGAAATGTCACCTTAGAGGAGTCTGTCTATTTTTTCTGGCGGGGGGGGGGGAACAATGCGGGAGTCACAAAAATGAGTTATAATTGCAGTATGGGCCAAGATACAGTTTGCAATTGCAGTTTGGGCCATGTATACAACGCAGCTTTCTGGCTAGGTAGGGCCCCCGAAGTCCAATTGCAAACTGTATCTTGGCTCATAGGGTAATTTATAACTCGTTTTTGTGACTCCCACATACTTACCCCTTTTTTTTGGAGTTGTGAACATCAGGGTGTAGACCTGGGGCCGTGCCCCACTAGCGAGGGTTTAGTTCATGTTTGAAGTAAGCACCAGTTGACGTAGCTCAGTGGTTAGAGCACCGGTTGGAAATGCGCATTGTGGTATGAGGTTGGGGGTTCAAAACTCCACAGCCTTGCTGGCCCTTGCGCATGGACACCGGCAGGCGTTAGAATGACGCACGACTGGACACACTCCCCTGGGCTGACGCAGGTAAGCTATTACAGACAATGCTTGCGCACCACCAGGGGCAAGTCCATGGTTGTTGTACGGTGGGTTCGGGCTGTGGGATGTTTGCCTGATGCTCTTGGTTCTAGTGGTTCTTTGGGGGCTTGCATACTTGAGGATGATTGTTCATTTGCCTTCCAGTCCGATACTGCGTACAAATCGTCCAGTTTCCACAGTAGCTCAGTAGGTTGGATTGAAGATTGTAAAAGAAAAAATAGTAGGTTGGATAGAAGATTGTATGGATGAGGTCGTTTGTTCAAAACTCGCTTACCTAGTGGGAGGCAGGACCAAGAGACCTACACACCGCCAATAGACTCACGAACAGTTGATGAGAGTGAGACTTAGTGCGGACTGTGGTCGATGTTGGTAGGTTTCTTGGGGTAAGATTAGAGTAGGGCGACAAGTTGCTAGCTGGAGATCTGGGGGGTCAGCCACTAGGCACGGGAGGGGTTAGGATGAGGGCTCCCCTTAGGACAACTCGCCCGTGGAATAGGACCGGTTGATGCGAGTGAGACTTAGTACAATCCCCGGTTTATGTATGCCTGAACTATCCTGCAGACCGCCCATGGAACAAGAAACAGTTGATGAGAGTGAGACTTAGTACAAGCTATGACCGGTGCTGGTAGGGCCATTGTGTCGGTGGGGCTCTCCACAGGATTGGTTCGGTCGCCTGCCTCCTATGTTCGGTGCACTATCAAACAAACACGTAGTAATAACAACAGTGTGCACAACGAACAACCTAACAACAAACAACAGTAACAATAGCTGTGTACACAACGATAGGAACGCAAAATAGGTCCACCTATGTGACTTGTAGTGAAACGTCTGTACCTAGCACCTGAAGTACCTGGGCGACAAGGCTCGCACAAATATGCTTCGATCAGGGTTGAGTGGGGTGTGTGGGACTCAACTTAGCCCTGGTACCTACAACCACGGTTCGGTCATGTCACCCCCAAGGCTGGAGGGTGACGATCCTGCGTGGTAGACCCTGAGGTAGGATAGTGGGAGTAGGAGTGCGCGGGGAGAAATTACGAAAGAGGTAGGTTGGGAGGGAGTCCTATAGGATTAGGGGGGCTCTACCACATGGCCAAGTGGCGAAGGCGACTCTCATGTGTCTGTAATCCAGCCTCTATGTCGCATACCGTAACGGTGCAGACCAGAACAAGAACCGACCTCTCTCACATACTACAAGATAGCACAGCGGAAGGCTTAAATACCAATGATCCGAACAATCAATATTGCCATGCAGACCAGACATACATCATTATCATTCCATGGTGTGAAGGGGCCTGACGCTCACACAGGAAGAATGCGCCAGTCCCCAACCATACACAAACGRAGARGAGKGGGGTTAGACGAAGAAGAGGGGAAGATGGGAATGTCGTCAACACCAAGTCTTCGTTACAGGTCCCAAATAATCCCTCGTCAAATGTCTGAATCCCAATGTCGAGTCTGGACCCAAATGTTGTCAAGTCCCAAAGTCACCAATCTCTCTCTCTCTCGTAGTCTGCAGATAATGAGAAGTCAGGTAGCAAGAGGGAAGGAGGAGATGGTGGACTTAGAAGAGGAAGAAGAATAACTCTCTCTCTCTCTCTCTCTCTCTCTCTCTCTCTCTCTCTCTCTCTCTCTCCGGTACTAACTTGTGAAGGTGGCGCCTTGTTGCAGGTTCATTGAAGACGAAGCTGGAGCTATGGCACCACAGGTAAGTCTCCCTTGCCTCCGCCAACCCTCTCTCTCTCTGCACTACTACTCTAGCTCTTGATAGCGCCCAGCGCTGAAGACTACTGCTAACGCTACTACTACTACTGCAGCGCTCCTCGAGAGTGTCGCTGCCGAAACCTGAAAACTGCCTCCTGCCTCCTGCACACGAAGTGCCTGGGGAGTTCCTATGAACTGCCTCGTGACCCTCCGCAGCCTGTAGGGCGGGCCAGTCTTATATAGTGCTGGCCCGTCCAGGAGGCTGCTCTTGCCAATGTCGAAACGTGTCAGACCCTAGCGTTGAAATTCAAAGAAGAGTTGTCTTGAAAACATGCCAAAAATGGCATGTGCTAAAACCCTGGTCTGATGCCTAAGTTTCAGGGCAAGTCGATCTTATGAGGGCCTGAAAATGGCCCTCCGTTTCAGGCTGAAAAGACTCAAGGCCTAGAGGGCCTTGTTTTAGGCTGAAACGACGTAGGGCCTTGTTTTAGGCTGAAACGACGTAGGGCCTGTAGGCCCTCGTTTTCAGGCTTTAAGGCTGAAAACGGCACATGGCCTGTAGGCCCTTGTTTTCAGGCTTTTAGGCTAGGTTGTTGGATCGGACGTCCGGGACCCCCCCGGATGCCCGACCGGACGTCTGGTCGGACGTCGGACCGGACAGGGTATGTCCGACCTAGCGCAAAAAAAAAAAAAAAAATCATGTGGCTTCCACTTTGCATGAGGTGTATGCCACCAAATTTTTGGATCATTTGGGCCAGTAGAATAAATAATAAAAATCTTCAAAGATTCTAATCCCCACCTATACCCCTCCTATCCCCACCAAAACCCATCTACCCCCCCCCCCACCCCAAATACCACCCTATCATCAAATGCTCAGAAAAATCTGAAATTTTTTCTAGGGGGTCTCTAGGGCATGCGCACCACTGCAATTTTTTTTTTTTTTTTAATTTTTTTTTTTAGTGGCAAAAGGTTGTCGTCTGGAAATCCGGACGACGCGGGGGAGACGTCCGGTCTCCGGACCATTGGTAACCTAACTTTTAGGCTGAAAACGACACAGGGCCTGTAGGCCCTTGTTTTCAGGCTTTTAGGCTGAGAACGCTGGTCGGGCCCTGCATGCCCGTGTGGCTGCGCAGTATGCCACACACCCCCCTCCTTGAAAGACCGAGCTATCTGCGAGGGCAAAGCTGTCTGTGTGAGGGAGGGACCAAAGTCCGGGTGGGAGGGGCAGGTCGTGAAGCTCCCTTCGCTAACCTTTGTCATTCGTAGTGAACGTAGATCAGCGGTGCGGATGCTTTCAAATTTGCTCCTGAAATCCATCGAGTGTTGTTGGGATTGCATGCTTTGAAGGTAACTTTGTACTGTCGAGGCTTGCTGCCGTACTTGCGATCCGTGATGACGCGGTCAACTTCCTGATGACCATCCATAGATGGAGGATTTTACGACTGTCGGCCCGGAAAGTCGTCGCTCTTAGCTGGTGTATATGTCGCTAGCTTCGAGGCATGAAAGACTGGATGGACCGTCAGATGCGGGGGAATGTTGATCACAAATGATGGGTCATCGGGCTCATCGCCCGCGGCTGATGTTACGAGCCATGGTCCAAACCACTTGGGAAGTAGTTTGCACGAAACAGCCTGCTCGAGTGCAAACTCTTCCACGGAGACCCAAACCAGATCACCGGCGCGGATGGGACACGGCACGCCATGCTTGTTGGCTTGCTGCTGCATGCGGACTTGAGCTTTTTGCATGTTCGCGCGGGCTTGAGACAACAATTCCCTGTACTTACGGAAAGAAGCGGGGGAGCAAACAACATTTATGTCGGCTGTTCGTGGGAGGAGAAGATCAGCGAAGATATGACCTTTCCGGCCACCGTGGTGCAACTCGAATGGAGTCATACCGATCGCCGGATGCAACGAAGTGTTGTAGGCGAACTCGATGTCAGGGAGGCGGTCAACCCAATCCTTCTGATCCATACGGATGAGTGTACGAAGCATCATTTGAGTGGTTTGATGTGCCCGCTCCATTTTCCTGTCCGTTTGTGGATGTCGAGCCGAACTTGGTTTCATCATCGTGCCGGATTCCTGCATGAGCGAAGTCCAAAATGCCGACATGAAGCGAGTGTCGCGGTCGATGATGATGTCTTCCAGTACGACGTGGCTGCAAATCTAGCCGGTGTGCAAGAGGCGTGCAAGTTCGGGAGCCGTGGCGTAGTACTTGCAAGGGAGAAACCGCGCGTACTTGCTCAAATGATGGTCAACGATCGTGAGGATGTCGTCGTGCCCGAGGCGGTCGCGGGGAAACGGTCCGGTGACGTCCATGGCAATGGAGAGGCCGGGTTCCCGTGGGATAGGCATAGGGCGCAACTCGCCATAGGGATTGCGGTTGCGGGGCTGTCGCAATACCGAGTGACATCGGTAATGAGGTCGACCCATTGGAATCGTTATCGAAGTAGTGCGAAAGTGTGATTGACTCCGAAATGGTCGACGAGTCGTGAGTCATGGTACTCGCCGAGAAGGCGAGTCCGAAGACGACGGTCTCGTGGGACACACAATAAGTCCTTGCCTCGTGAGTGGAGGAGCAAGTATCCGTCGACGATGTGATAGTGGCTGGCCGGTGGGCGATACGAAGATAGCTGCGCATACAACGTGGCGAAATCTGGATCGGACTCATAGCCCCGGATGACGTGTCGCGGAAGTTCCTCATCGAAAGCGAAGGCATGATGTGTCATAACCCAAAGATCGGGTCTTCACGAGAATGCATCTGTTGCGCGATTGGAGAGGTCGGCGAGATGTTTCGTCGTGAAGTCAAATTGGTCGATGAAGTACATCCATCATCCGATCGTGCTGCTCACTGTATCCTGCGTCTTGTAGTAGGTCAACGGGTTGTTGTCCGTGACCCATGTGAACCTACGACGCCCAAGGAGGAAGTGCCACCATCGCTTGAGAGCCATCACGAACACGAGCAGCTCCTTCTTCTTTGCATCATCAAGGGAATTGATGGGAGGCACTTTGTGCCTGAAATACTCCACGGGGTGCCAATCGTCGTCGTCGTGTTGTTCCAAGACCGCCCCAATGCCATAGCCAAAAGCGTCAGTTGTCACTCTTGTTGGCAGGGTGGGGTCGTAGATGCTAAGGACGGGTGCCATGAGCATGACCGTCTTAAGTGCTTGGACTGACCGGCGTGTGTCGTCATCGAATACGAATGACACCTTTGGCGATTGTAATCTCGTCATAGGTGCGACAATCCTTGAGTACCCGGTGATGAAGCGTTGATAGTAGCCCGCCAACCCCATGAATGAGCGAACGTCCGTGGTGTTGGTGGGTGCGGGCCATACGCGAATGACCTCGATCTTGTGCGGAAGCAGACGGATGCCTTGCGACGTCACATAACGTCCCAAGTAGTCCAGTTCCTGCCACGCGAATTCGCATTTGTTGTGGTTGGCTTTGTACTTGGCTTGTCGTAGTCGCTCCAAAACGGTGCGCAGGTGCTCCACATGCTCGTCCAAACTCCGACTGTATACCAAGATGTCATCGAGGTAGATGAGTACGAATCTATCTAGCATGTGTCGGAACTCCGTTGTCATAACCGTTTGGAATGTGGTCGGGGCATTCGTAAGGCCAAAAGGCATAACCAGCCATTCGAAATGCCCATATCGCATCTTAAACGCGGTCGTGTAGCGGTCCTCCTGCCGGATCTCGAGTTTGTGATATCCCGATTTGAGGTCAAGCTTGGAGAAGAACTTGGTGCCGCCCAGCCGTTCGAGGAGGTCGTCGATGAGCGGGAGAGGGCCGATGTTCTTGACGGTTTGCGCGTTGAGCTTGTGATAATCGATGTACAGCTGCAGGTCCTTGTTCTTCTTCTGAATGAAGAGAACAGGGGCATCGTATGGCAAGGAGCTAGGCCAAATCCAGCCTTTCTCGAGAAGGTCGTCGAGTTGTGCCCATAACACACTTAACTCTTCCTCGCTTATGCAGTAGATGCAACCACGCGGAGGTACGGCCCCGGCCTCGAGGATGATCTCGTGGCAAATAGGCCGATCCGGTACTACTCCGTGCGGGGTTTCGAACACGTCGCCGTAGCTGTCGAGAAACCCGGTAATGCGTGGATCCGTCGATGCGTCCGTCGATGAGATGTCATGGGGAGGGAGGGCGTGGAGAAAACACACACCCTCTTCTCGATGTCGTCCCGGGTGATGGAAGCTCGAATGCTTGCGGCGGATACCACTGACAGCTGATCGAAGCATGAGGTGGAGGCACCGTACATGGGACTAGTACTCCGTTCCGATCACGAATGTGAACAGTGCGGCAGTAGAAGTTCACTGGGTGATCCTCGCTTCGCAACCATGACATACCCAAAATCATGTCGAACTTGGTGTCCAAAATATCGAAGGACACGCCCTCGCTTGCACGTGGGGCGAAGTACACGGGGACGACATCAATGCACCGGTCGATTGACTTGTGCGTGTGACCATCGGCCAACGTGACTTGCGTGGGCTGCGACTTCCTCCGAACGCATGGCCCAAGGCCAACGCGTACCGTAAAGTCTTCGATCATATAGTTGTGAGTAGCTCCGCAATCGATCAAAGCGCTGCAGGTCGTCTTTCCGATCTGAATGCATATGTACAACAACGACGTGTCGATGTCGTCGTACCGTTGTGTCTTGAACTCACGGTCGATCTTCATAACGTAGTCGTGAAGGTCGACAACCTCTACTCCGGCGTCCATCAACGGAGCTGGTACTGCAGTGTGCAAGTAATCTTGCAATTGTGCCATGAGCACGTTGCAATGCGGTTTCATAAATCGACCGGACGGGGGAAGGGGCATCCATTGGAAGTCCGCGAACGTCAACGGGTCGAGCTCTTCAAGTCTTGACCATGACGTCGAATCCCTGACGATAGATGACGCCGTCATGGCGGCAAAGCTGCCGAATCGGTTGCCGATGGTGGTGAAACCGTGCATGCAGTGGATTGTTGCACATGGAGTGGTTGGTCCAACGGTTGGACCAAGTGGACAGCGTAATCCTCGTAAGTGAACCGAGGACTAGCGACATTCGCATCCTCCCCAGATGTGTAGGAGGCCGCTAGCAAGGCGGTCGAATCTGGTGGAGTGAAAGGTGGAGTCGCCTCACCTCTCGCGCAACTCAGTTTCCTGAGTTGATGCAAGGCCGAACATCCTCCTTGCCTTGATCCGGGCATTGGGAGGTCTTGTGCTTGGTGCTGTTGCACCAATATCAACAACCATACCGGCCGCGCCATTTGGTCCTCAGTCAAGTGAAACTTGACCATGGTGTTGGTTGTCCGTTTCCGGCCGACGTTCAGTTTTCGCCTTGAAGTTCCCTTTTCCTTGGGAGTTGTTGTTGCTTCGCGGCTGGACAGCGGCCACCTGATCTCCCTCACGTGATGCTTGGGTAGCTGTCGGGTCTTCCACAATGTTGTCCGGTTGGACTGCAGCGACATGCTGCAGACGCGGACCAAAATTTTCATTCTCCACATAGGTTGGCTGCCACGCTGACTTCTCGTGTGCAGCCGCCCTGTTGGTCTTGATGATCTCCCTTGCCTTGTCAATGATTTCAGAGAGGTCGTGTATTGCTCGCGATCACCAAGTGCGAGGCTCAAGGCGGCACATGACCGGTTGTAGAACTCCCGGCGCAGATGCGAAAATGACAAGTCGAGATCAGGCGTTGCCACGATCTTTTGCCATTCCGTGAGCCAGTCGCGTGTCGGTGTGTTGCCTTGGGACATGGCGAAGAGGCGGTTGATGGCGAGCGTCGGGGCATCGTCCACGATGAGCCGCTTCTTCCATAGCCTTGTCAACTCTTCCTAAGAGATCTTCGTATGTAGATCGGCAACCTGGACGCCATGGATGGTTGCCAGGTGGCTGAGCCAGATCTGGCATCCGCCCTTTGAGTTGAGGACTAGCGCGCTGATGTACGAGTGCTCGGGGACAAAGAGAATCCGAAGTTCCGTCGTAAAGCCCTCCCACCAGGGGACCGGGTCTTGATGCGTATAATAGTCGAACTTTTCGATGCGGAATGTCGGCATCTTGTAGTGCTGCGCACTGGTGTTGCCATCCTTGTTGGGCAGATGGTGCAGTTGCTAAACCTCGATCTTCAAGGTGTCCAGCTGCTTGCTGATGGTGGCTGGTGCAGCGAAGGTGCTGATGTCACCGAACATTGTGACTACATGGTCTACTCGTTGCTCCAATTGGCGGGTAGAGGGTGCACTGCTGGACTCGTCAGCATCTGGTTTTGGTGCTGCTTGCTCCAAGTCCTGTACACGGGAATGAAGTGCCCGTGTAGCATCCTCGTGGTTCTGCACTGTCCGTCTGAGATTCGCCAATTCCTGGTGCTGTTTCTTTAGTTCCTGGTGCTGTTTCTCTAACTCGGACTGTTGGTGGTTACAAATGTAAACCAACCCTGTCACGAGTTTGGAGAAAAACCCCTTGTGCTGCTCTTCCGGTGTTGCGTCGTCATGGTCGGCGGACGGTTCAAAAAACCAGAACTTGAGCTTCTCGACACTGGTGGCTTCGTGCCGCTGCAGCAGCTCTTGGGCCTCTTTGCGGAGGGCCTGGGCATCTGCTTCTGCTTCGGCCTGAAGCCGCTGCTTTTCAGCTGCTGCCTCTGCTTCAGCCTGTAGGGGGTCGGCCTCGGCTACCGCCTGGCGCTGTACCTCCGCCTCGGTCCGTGCCAGAAGAGCTAGAGCCCGATGATGGTACTCGTCAGCTCGTCGGCCTGTTGGCCTGGCAGGCCCAATGATGAACCCGTCATGGTAGCGGGGCCCTGCTGACGCGGCCCTGCTGACGTGGCACTGCTGACGTGGCACTGCTGATGTGGCACTGCTGACGTGGCACTGCTGACGTGGCACTGCTGCTGACATGGCACTGGTGCTGATGTGGCACTGCTGACGTGGCACTGTTGCTGATGTGACACTGCTGACATGGCACTGGTGCTGACGTGGCACTTACCAAACCGGGAATGCAGGCAAAGGGTTGGGTGGGAGGGAAAACGCAGGAAGGTAACCAACCAAACTGTACTTTCCTCCCGGTCCTAATCAACAGTAAAAAAAAAAAAAAAAAAAAAGAGGATC